TAAGCACAATTAGATCAAGGAGAACTGCAATACAGATCAGTCAGCGCGGGAGCCCTGGCCCCGCCTGGGTCCGGGGTGCTGCTCCTTACGATCCAGCTGTGGGAGGGGAAGCGTCTCCCCAGGACAGCCCGGGAAACTGACCGCTGTCTGCACGTCACGGGAGTCCCTGCAGCCTCAGGGTTGTAGGGTGTGGTCAGGGGTTCTAGATGGTCGAGCCTGGGATGCTCAAGGCCCAACTTAGGAAACTCCTTTCAAATGCCCCCCTCCCCTTTGCAGGGCACAGGGCCTGGTCACTAGTACTAGGTCTGTCATGGCCAAGAGCCCATGCCCAGGTCTAAGCGACAGTCTGCGGAAGGATATCCTGCAGAGCGCCATCTCCCAGGCCCTGGGCAGGGCAGGGTGCCCAGCCTGGCTGCTGGGCAGGGGAGGGCGAGGGCTGGCTGGCGGTGTCCAGGATGAGGAAGCCTAGGTGCAAGTGCCGGACGGCAAGCAGCCCAGCAGCCGCCGGGGCCACTGGTTCTGCTAAAAAGCATGGGAGCGAGGGAGGGACACAACACACGGCAACCACCAGCACACTCAGGACGTGACAGAACGACTGGCATGCACACAGACCTGGGCCGCTGTGCAGTGCCGCCTCCGGGGCCATCGTGGGACCCTGGCCGCAGCCTGTGCTCGGGCTGAGACCGCGCCAACTGTCGGGCGTCCTCTTGAAGACCACGACACACGGGCAGGGGCTCACCAGCCTCGGAGGCCATGCCGGCCCCACTGCTGACGCCCAGGCCCCTCACAGACACTCTGCCTTCCCTGAGGCCTCACACTGGCCTTCCTTATCCTGGGTCCCGGGCCGCATTGGGACAGGGCCTGGGAGAAGCCTTCCTGTTGTTCCCAACTTCTGCAGGGGAACATTTGGGATGCTTATGGACCAGATATGGGGAAGGTACAGTCACTGGCTCTGAGAAAACGATGATGTTTTGACCATCCGTTTGAGGAAAAGTAGCATGCTGACTCAAAGATAATAGGCACACGATAGCAGATTTACCCTTTTCCACAAAAAGACTTACATCTGAAAGAGGCATTTCCTCCCTGCCCCAGGACTAAGGCTGCTCATGTGTATCGGGGGGCACCCTCATTTGCTGCCAGCCAGCCTGCAAACCAAGCAGCCACTGAAGGCTGGCTGTGTAGGGCTCCACCTGCAGCTAACACACCCACGTCAGGACGGACCAAGTGTGGGTTGTCAGGGGGACCTCTTCCCTGTCCTTCTTCCACAACGCCCAGCAGCGGTGGGCACAGGATACAGACGGAGCCTGATGACCATACTTGAGACGGCCCAGCAGTGGCCAGGCGGGGGAGGGGCTGGAGGAGGGGACAGTGGGCAGGTCCAGCAGGGCTGGGCCCATTGGTGTGGGAATTCTCAGATTGGTCTTTGCAGACACCAGTGGTGCTGGTGTTAATTTAGAATATAAAGTTGTACGAAAACTTCCCAACAGGTTCTTTTTGAAAATGGCGTCCTCCATAGTAGCACCTGTCTAGGAAGATGAGCCTGGGTCTGTTTTGAACCAGGCTTTTAAGAGAGGACCAGCGAGTCTTTCCATTTTGTGAATTGTGGGGGTGAGAGAGCCACCCAGCGCCAAAGCTTTCGGGTTCCTAGCTAGGAATGCCATGGTCTCGCAGGGGAAAGCCGCACATGTCCCAGAGCCAAACCCGGAACAGTTCGTGGTGTGTCAATGAGGTCGCCACTTCCTTTCCTGTCCCTCTGATCACAGGCACAAGATGCACATGCACACACAGGCACACACCCACACACATGTAGACACATGTAATCACACATGTACACGCACACTTATTCACATATGTACTCACACACATGCATACACACCTGTACACACACACTTTCCCTCTCTTGGGATCCCAAGTCCAGCACGTCTGAGCCCAGGGGGTCATTGGGCTTGGAGGGGGACCCACTTGCCATTGTCATGGAAACATCAAGACGGCAAGTCTATGGCAAGGGTGCAAGCCCTTACGCAGCCGGGCTGCAGGCATGTGCGGGAAGGTGGAGCCCAGTCGTACTGAACAGCCTGTGGCTCATTCAGTCAGCATTTTCTAGGGCACAGTTACCAAGGGAAGAGACGCTAAGACAGGGTTCAAGGCTGATTCTGGATCACGGGGAGAAAGGGCTGTTGCGTATCTGAGGCTCCCAGACAAGAAGAGACCAGGCTTGAGACACCTGCTGCTGCCCCCACAAAAATAAAACCAGAGGTGACAATGCACCACGTCAACACCCCCAGTTAAATGATATATATGAATCCCTGTTACAAGGCAGCGTGGGCCAGGAACACGGAGCTTAAATAACAACAAATAACCCTGATCACTGTCATCCAACTGATTGCACTAGGTCTAGAAAAGGAATAGAAAACTATTTATTTGGATAATTTTTCACATCATCCTCTGTTGACGGGTTGACATTTCACTGAAATACACATATAACACAATTGCGTAATAAAAACAAAAACTGTCTCCAGCACGTCGTCAATGATACACCAGAGTGAACAGACACAGGAAGGACAGAGCGTTTGTTTGCAACATAAATCATGGAGGAAATCGAGAGGCGGCCCAAGCGGCCGTTCCCAAAGACAAGTAATGACAACATATTTATTAAAGAGACAGCAGAGGAGGAGAGAAGGCATCCCTCTTCCCAGACAGGAAAGCAGAGGCTTAGAAGTCACGGTTACATTTGGCTTGCTCCACGCGGCAAGAAACACGCCTTCTAAGAGTCAGGGACTGACCTGACTCTTTCAAGGGGGGACCCGGGGAAGGCCAGGCAGGGTGTCTGCCAGGGCTGGGAATGAGGGAAAGAGATGTTACCAAACTCGAACTAAAACGAAGCTGAAGCACAGCACCCTGAATTTATTACATATCACAAAACAGGATAATGAATTTTTTCTAGCACACAGATCGAGCTAAAAGTTAGCTTAGGCTGCTCCAAAAATTCCATAGGCACAAATTCCAATCCCCCCCAAGTTCAGAAAACTATCTTAAATCCTTGAAAAAAATATTTTTTTTTACAGCTCTAAAAAAAAGAACATTTTTTTTTCTTGAAATAAACACTTTACAGCCAGTAAAATTGTGTATTCTTCCGTATTTCATATCTGTGTCTACCTCTTTCAGCCAAAATATTATTTTAATTTGAAAGGTGGTCATAGCACTTAAACCAACACAATTAAAGCCATATAAAGTCATTCCATTAACATCACAGTAGAATTATGGTTTTGAATAAACACAGAATTGCTATAAAATAGAAACATTATTGACTTAAGATGTCCAATCATATAAAATATTAAACAGAATCAAGCCTAGTTTCTGGTTGATTTTTAAATGCTAGATGTTATCATAAATATATTTTTAAAAAAGAAATGGCGCTTTGCCTGTAGACTGCTGCTTTAAATTTAGACACCATTTAATTGGGATTTTATAGATATTTACTCTACTAAATGATCAAGTCACACAAAAAAAACCCCAAACTATAAAATCTCTCTAAATATTTCTGAAGCAATAGCATAAAATGATGATATTTTAACATCAAAACTGAACATTCGTTTACCTTCCTTCCTCTCGCCCATTTTCAAGGTTACGTTTTCCCTACCGGTGCGCGTGTAACACTTGCTCTGCCTGTCTCCCTAAGCTAGTGCCATCAGACACGGTCACCTGCCGGCTCTCAGGACCACGGCAGGCACGCCCAACCCCCGCTGAGCCTACACTGTAGCAGTGGAGGTAAGAGATGCCCATCCCCAGTCGGCACGGGGCCAGGCCATTCATCTTCAGGAGTGAGTGCCAGGCTTTCAGACTCCAGCCCAAAGCCCGCGCCTGGCGGGCTCTCCACCACTGGCAGTTTCACTGGCGGCTGGCCCTGCTCAGCCGGTTCTAGTTAACCCTTCA